TTTTTTAAAAGTCATCAGTTTATCATTTCATTAAGNTAAAAAAATTTTTTCAACCATTCAAATTGCTATTCAAATGAAATAAAATTTCTCAAAAATTACAAAAAAAAAATAAATCAGTAAATGAATTTGATAAAACTGATAAAATTGATGATTGTGAAAAATTACCTGCAAATATTTCATTTGATACTTTACCGCAATAATTTGATATTATTGCAACATATACATATTACGAATTAAAAAAAATAGTTGCAATTAACTTAAGGATAGGAAAAGTAGTGTTGATAAGTGTAAAATAAAGTTTTTTTTTTTCAAGGATAGCAAAGAGTTTGAAATTGAAATAATTACAAATGTACGTCGAAGATAATTAAAATTTAAAATTTCAATAGGCAAAAAAAAAGTATTGTTAAATAATGAACGGAATTAATTAATAGCGTTAGGATAACAAAAAAAGCTCTTCCTTTGCAAAATATCTATCAATGAAACTCTAATATTAGCATAATATTATTTAGATAATTAATTGTATATGTATATTAAATTGTATGCAAAATATGGAAGATATGCAAAAAGTGAATAAGTGATAGGTTTAAAACAATAAGGCATGCAAAGTTTAAATTGATAACATGCTATCATTATAACTAAAAAAAGGGATAAGAAGAAAAGAATAATTACAAAGAATTTGCCATTATTATTATATGCTAATTTTTACAAATAATTAGTAATTAGATAAATGTATGTTAAAAATTTGATTTACATCCTGATGTCACACACTTTGTCACCACTTTAAAAATAATATTTTTCATTCTATCTAATAAGTAAAATTAGTTATTAATTACATTTAAAATATAAAAGACAGATTAGAGTTGCATTATTTCAATACTTACAAATTATGCTTTAAAATGAAAGTAAGAAAAAATTTTGGTAATATTTGAAGGAAACAAAATAAAAAAATACCTGAAAATATGCTTGCTTTAAATGAAATTCCGTGTGACATGCTGTTTTTGGAAAGGTGAGGACAGATAGATAGACATGGATAGCACATAACATTTGCGTGACTACTTTTTTTTTTTTTTTACGTTTGAAATAAAATATATGCATTACGCAGTAAGAAAGTAAGTGTAATAAAATGAAATTAATATAAATTAATATCGACCTGATAATTTATCATTATCATTTTCAAATTAAATGTTGTGGATGATATAACAATGATTAAAATGTGATGAAATTAAAAATTAATTAAATAAATACCTAACAATTTCTTCATGCTCCACTAGATACTCTTCATTTTCAGATATGGCCATTGTCCAATCGCTAAGAAATGTTTCTGTGGCTTTATTTTCAGGCCTAACAAAAACTTGTTTATTTTTTTCCTTTTTTTTTTTTTTTTGTCTGATTAGTAAATCAAATATGTAACAGATTAAAAAAAAAAAGACAATTATAAATTTTCATAATTACATTTAAGAGTTGAAAATTAATTAATTAAAATAATGAATCGTTCTTTTGCAATGAGTAAAAACTTACTTTGCGAACGATTTGTTCGATTCATTCAACATTTCGATATATGAATCCCATTCCATCATACAGGCTAATCCGATCGGCTATAAAAGGAAAAGATCAATTGAGCCATAATTCATAAGCCTAAAAATGATCAGCATAATCTGTCGTCAAGAAATGTGCCATAAATGAATTAAGGCATTTCTTCAACTAACTAATTTAACATTTTACGTAATGATTCATTAAAAGGTCATTGATAAATTATAGTAAATCATTAATGGGACAATTTTTAAATATTTTGAAAATGTTACACTGCTTGATGGTGATACAAGTGGAACGGATACTGATGATGGCACTGTTTCCGGTAATTGTTGCTGCGACAAAGTTGACAATTGAGATGATGATAATGATGATTGTTGTTCTCTTGTAACATTCTGTGAATTTGATACTGGAAATTCATCCTCACAATTTCATATGGTAGCAATGGAATATTATTCGTATTATTGATTATAAATTAGAATTAATAATTTAATAAATAGATAATAATATCTCATCTAACTAATAATGAATTTAAAAAGGATGAAATTGACTTGAATGAATGAATTAATTAATTAATGAACGAATGAATGACTGATTGAATGAATACTTCAATGATTCATACGTAATTGATAGATTAAAAAAAAAAAATTTTTATCAATGATAAAAAAGCAAATGAATTGTGATTAACTAAATAAAAACTCCAATACACTGATAAACATAAAAAGAAAAAAAAACTCATAAAATGATTATGTTTTATAATGAAAAAAAAAGCAAAAAAATTTCACCTGCTATTTCATTATTCGAATTCGAATTTGATTTATTGATTAATTGCTCATCCTCATCAGATATACTGAAAAAAAATGCTGAGAAAAATAAGTAATTGATAAAAAAACAAATCGATAAAAAATGAAAATAAAAATAAAAGAGTAAAAGAAGAATCAAAGTTATATAATTTATTGGAAATAATTATCATTTAGGATGATAACAAGTATATCATATAAAATATATTGAAAATTGAAAGTTCACGTATTCACGTATTAAATGTCACAGCAAATTTTAAACTATTAAAATGGAAATGTTTAATTTATGAATGCAAAAATAATAAACGATAGAATTTGAAGATATTACAGGGATTTTGATGAAGATTGAACACTTGCAGTTGTATGAAGTATAATCTGTTCATCTTCGGTATAAGATAACTTATTTACTTCTATACTGAAAATACTAACTTCTTATTATGATCAAAGTGAAATTTTTCGCAATTAAGATACTTTAATTTGTTTAAATTGAGAAAAAAATTAAGTAACTTAAACTACATTGACATTAATTTTATGTGACATTTTTAATAGTAATTTTAGAATTGAATAATATTGCTATCATTATTATCAGTTAAATGAATTAGTTACATCAATAGAATAGTGTTAAAAATTTAAATATCAACTAAATTTCACTCCTAATTTTTATTTGCCCTGTTTAACTTAAGTTTTTTTTCTCATGAGGAAAATTTTCAACGAGAAATTACTAATTAACATTTAATTTTGTTAGGTTTAATTAACTCTTTATCGTAATAGGTTTACCTTGGAATATAATTTGACTAGTTTAAAAATATTTGGCAATTCTTGGTCGCAGAATCATCGCAGATAGTTTTAATTGAAAAAACCTTGATCATTTCTTATCATAGAAATTTGTTGTTTAATAATAAATGGGTAAAAATTAAAATTAAATTTTAATTTTTAACTTATATTTTTTTGCTTATGAATTTTTTAATTGATATTTGTTAATTTTTTGTCCTAATTCATAGGAAATCATTCATACCATTGTAAGCCATCATTGTTATTATCATCACTGATATCATAATTAGCTGGAGTAGGCATCTCTGATGTATAATTGCATGAATGTCTTTTTGATCCTTCGATCAAAGTAATTCTTTAAATTGTAAAATTAATTTATGAAAATAATAATAATATAAGAAAAAAAAATTTTTTTTTCGTATTTGTTAGAAAAAACTATATTATATGATAATTATAATATTATCAGTTGATAATTTAATTTCTTTTTTCTCACATATCAAATATCTTTCCGAAATTTGCAAATTCTAATTTATGCTATTTCATTAGCATTATTTTGTAATCAATAGCAATTACCCTGCTGCTTCTTGAAGTTGTCTGAGGTATAGTTTTAAGAATTCATCACCCTGATCAGTTGTTAATCCATGTTCAATCATTTGTCTTCGTTTGAGCAATTGCAATATATCGGTACCGTGGAATTTTCGGCCAAAATAATGAATTTTTTGGATGTATTGAATACCAACTAAATCGATACACATCGTTGTCACAGCAAGACCAAATCCCAGATATATCAACATGAGCAGTACATATCTGATAATGCAATGATAATATTTGTATTAATAAATAAGCTAATGAATAATTTGTTCAAATTTATAAGCATAATTGGTAAAAAAATTCCAAATGCTTTATCAAGTTTTTTTCCGGATTGCTTGTTCGAATCCGGATAGTTTTTTTGTTGTTATTTTTTTTTTTGGCGAAGAATTCCCGAATTAATAATGGATCTTAATTAGATGAAATAACTTTTTTCAGTGTAATTCATTAAGTATTTATAAATTTTAGTATATTTTATGCGATCGTATTCAAAATGGTAATTTGTATTGAAATTAATGCTAAATTTAAGTTAATTTAAGTTTTATTCTTGAAATTTTTTTTTTAAATTCATATTTGTCATTGGATTTTGATTTAAAAAAAAATTTTTTAAAACAATTTTTTCTTTTTTTTTTGTTTTTCGAAAACGAATGAAAAACAAAAAAGAAAAACGAAAAATAATTTATGTATCGAAAGTTTTTTCTTTTAAAAATATTTTCACTTGGGAATGATGTTTATAAATAGTGTGTTAACATTTATT